TTTTTTGTGGAACCGAGGATTGAACTCAGACCCTTGCACTTGCTAGGGAAGCACTTATTTCACTGAGCCATCTCCCCGGCCCCCTACTTAACTTTTAAATGGCCTGACTTTAAGCTACTGAGGTGCTTGTCATTGGATACATATAAGTAGCTCTGCAGAGTTTAGTGATTTGAGTTTTATTTCTTATTTCTGCTCTTGAAAGAGAGTGAACTTTAAAGAGAATAAACCAGCTGTCTAAGGTTTTGAGGATTATGTTCAGCCGTTAACATCAGTCTTAGAAAATGGTGGCTTTTGGTGACAGAAGACACTTGGCATGGTTACTACTGGGCATTTATTGTTCAGAGCCTAGATTCCCTTCAGCATTTTAGCATGTGATTCTCCCCTCAAGATCTTGAGATAGTTGATCTGCCTCCAGTGTGTGTTCATATTAGAGGTAGTAATAAGGAGAAGGGTGATGAGAATAGGAGGCATTGTCATGAGTCATTGTCTCTAAAGAACTCCCCAGAACTAAAGCCATGACTTCAGTTGACTAGAATTATGCAGCATGACCAGCCCTTTGTATGTGGCATGGGAAGCCTGGAAATGTAAGCTTTTTATTACTGTTACTAATAAAGTCCAGACTTAAGTCAGAAAAAGGGAAGAGTTGATGTCAGTGATTTTCTTCTGTTCATGAAAGCCTTTTCTTTTTGTTGTTAGAAAATATGTCAGTCGTGGGGCTGGAGAGATGGCTCAGTAGAATAGGCGCTTGCCTGGCAAGCGCAAGGGCCTGAGTTCAATCCCCAGTTCCACAAAAAAAAAAAAGAAAGAAAGAAAGAAAGAAAATATGTCAGTCTTAACTTCCCATGTCAGTTTGGCAGCAATACTAATGTTTGGCAAACAGCTTTATTGTAGTTTCAGTTTAATTGTGCATTTGATTATGTTATGCTTATCATGTTGATTTAATTCTTGCTATCTATATAGGATCAAACAGGTCCAAGACAACTTAAAAACACTGATGCCTGGATTGATGAAAATGAACTCTAAGAGAGCCTTGAAAGGTTGTTAGCTACTAGGCTGAACTTCCTGATAGTAGAAAGGTGCTAGCTGTACATTTTTGTCCTCATCCACTGCTTACTACACTTCTTTATTCCTTTCTTCCTCATTCATCTTGCCTATCAGTTTTCAAATGGTAGAAGCCCATTTTGTCTACCTCTTGCTAGAGACTTGTGAGTTCCTTATTAGAGTGCATTCCCCATTCATTTTTCACTGAGGAATTGAATTTAGAAGTTAGTTGAAATTGTACAAGTGGTAACCCTGAAGATATATTTTTGTCCCCTAGAGGTAGCATATTCTTCATTCACAAGATAGTAATTATGAGGGATGTGACCACATGTTGCTGGGATATAGCAGTTAACACAACAGAGTCTTTTTTAAGGTAGTTTTCATTTCAAGTGATGAACTTGTTCAAAAAACAAATGCATCTTTAAGGTCATGTGACAAGTCACTTAACAATTTTTTAATTTTAAAGTAGGAGTCAGTACCCTGGATGTTGCGGCACACTCCTTTAACCTCACTGCTTGGGAGACTGAGGCAGTAAGATCATTGTGAGTTTGAGACTTACTATTCTTGCTACATAATGAGTTCGTGCCAGTCTGACCTACATAGTGAGACCCTGTCTCAAAAAACAAAACAAAACAAAAAGCAAATAAAATAGACTCAGCAAACTTTCTCTAAAAGAACTAGGCAGTATTAATTGTATTGTGGACCACATCTGATCTGTCATACATTCTTGGTTTTTTTGAGTTTCTATTCATGGTCCTTTTTCACAAACCTAAAAATATAAAGCCCATTCTTGATGGGCTGTACAGAAGTAGGAAATGAACAGAGTCAGGCCTGTCACTGCTGTTTGTTAATAGCACTGGGAGACTTGAGGCAGTTGGTGTTACATGAGCTGATTTTCGTATTCAAAGTGGCACAGGAGTGGTAGAGGAACTAAAGCAGAAGCAGAAGACAGTAACTTATTGCCCAGTGTAAGGTTCCATTAGTGCCATCTCTTGAGAAATGGAAGGCTGGCAAAAACCGACCTGGGAGATAAAACATAAGCTCTGTTTTAAACATACTAAATTTTACATTCCTGTTAGATTTCTAAGTGAATTGTCAATTAGAGTTTAGAGAGAGTCCATGACTATGTATCTAAATATGCTTCAGCTATGGATGACATAGCCATGAGTTTTGAGGATATTATCTAGGGAGAGGAAAGGGCCATAAACCAAGTCAAGAGGCCGTGCAACATTTCAGAATGGGTAGAAGAGAATCCAGCAAAAGAGATCAAGGAGCTTAAGAGTGTCCATTGTAGTGAGGAGGAAAACCAGAGCAGTATCATGAAAGCCAGAAGAGAATGTTAAGTTGTGAGCTTTGTCACAATCATGTTGTCAGGAAAAATATGCAGAAATAACCACTAGACTGGGCATCAAGGACTTGATGAGAATAGCTTAACTGGACTATATGGGACAGAGACCATTGGTATCTTTACCAAGGGAAGCAAAAAAGTTATAGCATAGCAAATGGAGCCGTGTGATGAAGGAATGTTGCTGTCTTGGTAACTGGAGATAAGATCTGTTTGCTTAGTCATAAGGATAATCCAGTAGAGAAAGGGAACTCAATGATACAAGAGGGGTTTGCTTGAAAATGTTAAGGATTGGTGCTAAATTTATTTTAAAAAGCAAACAGTTTCCTGAGTTAAAAGGGAAAGAATAAGGAATTTCCTAAATAGATTAAGCAAAATCTCTGGACATAGATATTTAAGAGAAAACACAGCATATTTAAGGAATGGCAAGCATTTATTCTAGCTGGAATAAAGTTTCCACTTAAGCATATAATAAAGAAAGTGATTAGCAAAGGTCAGATGAAGGACTAGTGTCTTAGAATTCTTTATGAAGACAATGAAAATCCTCTGAAGGATTTAAAATTGAGTAAGTTTTTGATAACATTTTTTAAAGGTGAAATAAAGAAGATAGATATAGAAACTGACTAAATTGTAGGTAGGGAAATCAATGAAGAAACTGATATAATAGTCCAGGCCAGTATATTAAAATGATGTTTTGTTTTGTTTTAGAATCCAGAGAAATTCACTAAAAACAGGATTAGGTAAGGTCAGTTATATATTTTATTTCATTTGTTTATAACAATGCCCATAAGATGTGTAACAGTCAGGTAAATAGATATAGGAGCTGAGGATGTAGCTCAGTGGTAGGATATTTACTAACCTAGTATGTGTGAGGCCATGAGTTTGTTCTCAAGCACCAAAAAGGAAGGAAGGAAGGATCGATCGATCTGGAGAGCAAATGCTGGGTTTCAGGCAAATTGACTTGAAAACAATTACTTGGGTAAGGCACAAACAAGAAGTCTCAGTTGTCAGTAAGTGTCTCAGTAGTGTTAATGATACTTTCCAAGAGAATTTTATGAAGCATGAGCTTCAAACCATAATATGAGCAGATTTTGTAGTTTACAGACATAGTGATTACTGAAAAAAAGAAAAAAATCTACCCATTTTTGTCCTGCTTAAGTGGTTTTTTTTGGTTTATTTGTTGTTTGTTTTTGGTGGAGCTGGGATTGAACCTAGGACTTTATACTTGCTAGGCAATTGCCTTGCTGCTGTTACACCCCAGTCCTATTTTTTAAAAATATATTTATTTTTAAACTGATGACTGTTCTTTATAATCACTGAAAAATACGTATTTTGCTTTATTCTCTTTATTAAGATTGAAGAATTAGAAGAGAAACTTAATGATGCACTTCATCAGAAGCAACTACTAACTTTGAGATTAGACAACCAATTGACTTTTCAACAGAAGGATGCCAGGTAAGTAAAGTTAAAAAAGAAAAAAAAGTATTTAGCAACTAAAAGTAACTTTGTTACCTATTTACGCATGTTATTGTAAGTTAAAATAGAGAAATTTTGCCAGGCATGATGGCTCACACCTGTAATCCCAGCACTCATCTGAGGCAAGAGTATTGCCACAAGTTCAAGGCCAGCCTGTACTACATAGTGAGTTCAAGGCCAACCTGAACTAGATGGTGAGACCTTGTCTCAAACACCAAAAAACTAACCAAACAAAAAATAAAATAGAGAAATTTTGTTAAAACTAATAACTTTCATGTCTAGACCACCAAAAAACAGGTTATTTGATAGAGTATATTAAACACAGAAAGTAAAAATTCAACTTTCATTAAGTAAGCATAGGTCAGTGTAAGTGGACCACACCGGAAGTTGCTCTAAACTGAACACACAGTTTTGTTGTCTAGATTATTAATCTTTTTTCATTTATTTGTGAAACATACTGATTGATTGATTATCATGGCCCATTGGAATTTCCTGGCTTGAGGTACTTTCTGATATCCCTACATATTTTCTTCTGCTTAGCAGAGTGCTTATCGCAAATCTACCTTTTAATCTCAACTGTGCCTGTACCAATTATACCTATTACACTTACGTAATTTAATTAAAAATAATGAGTACTAAAAAGGTGCATTGTTTCTATTGAAAGTATAGATAAATTCATCGGAAACTGTCAATAATAGTAACAAAAAATAATCAAATGAACTATAAGTAAGACAGGTTTAAAAATTGGGGGCAGGGGCTGGGGAGATGGCTCAGTGGAATAAGCGCTTCCCTGGCAAGCACAAGGGCCTAAGTACAATCCCCAGTTCCTCAAAAATAAAATAAAATAAAAATTGGGGCCAAGGCCAAGGATGTAGTTCAGTGGCATAAAACCTGCCTAGCAAGCACAAAGTTGTGAGTTTGATTCTTGGTATGAAAATAATAATAATCATAATAATAATTGGGACCAAAAATCAAGCTAATAAGGTCTCCTGTCTTTATAAAGAAATTGAGCTTGGAAATCATAAAATATGAAAACAAAACATACTTCTGTATTAAAAGTCAGTATGTATTTCTGTATTTTAATTAGAGTAAATGTGTAAAGTAAATATCTTTGTTTTTTTAAGATTTCACTAGTAATATTTTCTAAAAAGTTACTTGACCAGTTGTTAGCTAGGACATTAGATGGATCTCAGACTTTAACAAGAACCTTGGAAGACTTCCTGAGAATTTGCATTTCTGCCAGATTCCCAGGCGATGCCGATACTATTGGGAAAGTACTTTGCTAGACATATTGAACAATGCTGAGTGGGACTTTGTTGACTACTGCAGCATTGCTATTGATAGAAAATGATGATTAAAAAGTGGTTGGATCATGAACATATTTTGATGGCAGAGTAATAGGATGTCCTGAAGGATTAGATAAGGGGTTTAAGAAAAAAAAGAAAGAACCAGGGATTGCACCAACATTATAAAAGATGGAGTTGTTACCAACTATAATGGAGAAAATCCAAATGAGGGTTTGTGAGTAAAGAGTAGGACGTGTTAAATTAGAGTTATCTACGTAAAGCTCCACATGGACCAGGCATGGTGGTGGTGCATGCCTGTAATCCCAGCACTCGGGAAGCTGAGGCAGGAGGATCACCAAGAGTTTGAAGCTAGCTTGGACTACAGAGCAAGACCCTATCTCAGAAAAACAAAAAGCATTCCACATGGGCATGTATGAAAGTTATGGTCTGAACATGTAAATCTACAATCATTACCGGTATGTTCCCTGAGGAAGTGAGTGTAGTCAGAGAAGACCATATACTCACTATTAAGAATGAAAAGATTCTATAGTAAAAAAGGAGAATGTGCAGCAAGTGTGGTTTCTTGAGATCAGATTTGAAAAACTTTATCAAGGAAGGAAGGTTAAACTTAGGAGTAGAGTTCTTATTTAGTATGCATAAGTTTTGAATTCGATCCCCTATACTACACACATACAAAAGGAGAGATTAAATGTGAAAAGTACTATTGTTAGGTTCTGGGTGTAGAAAAGACTAAGAACCATTAACAATGTGGGTATTATTGGCAGCACTGAGATCTAAGGAGTAAGGGCAACTACTTAATGGACATGGGATTAAGAAGAAAGAAAGGAAGGCCGGCCAAATAGCTGAGCAGATTAAAGCACCTGCTTAGGCAGACATAGGGACCCAGAGTTCCATCCCTGTGCTGGCCCCACCCCCAGGGCACACTGAGACACCAGTGCATACTGAGAAGGCAATTGAGATGGACATGGTGGTCCGCACCTGTAATCCCAGCACTTGGGAGGCTATAAACAGAAGGATCACTACAAATCTGATCTATGTAGTGAGACCTTGTATACCCTGTACACCCTGTCCTAAATACAAAAAATGAAAGAGAAGAAAGAAATGAGAGACCCATTTTGAAGTTTTCCTCCCATAGGGAAAGAAATCAAGGAGAAAGTGAAATGGGGTCAAGAGTTGTTTTCATGTATTTTTAAGACAGAAGAAATAATGTTTGTTGACAGAAGTAACATAGTAGGAAGGAGAAAAAAAATCATATTTTTCCTTCTTGCTTAAAATCTCTGGGTAGACAAGTAACAATAACAGTGTCTGTTAATGTTCTTTGAGATTGATAATTGCAGATATAATGTGACTGAATGAATACTTTATGATAGTTAAATGTTGGTATATTGCTTAACGAATTCCCTGAAGTACCAGAATAAAAGAGAAATGAAAATTATTTTAAATAAGTAGTGTCCAGAGCAGATGTGTGAGACTTAGCACTTAAGCAGAACAAATGTATACTTTTGTAATTTGATTTTTTAATTGTTTTTTTTTAAAATATCACCTAATAATTTATGTGAGTACAAATTGATTGGTTAGTATGTAATTGTTATTTCATGTTTAATTGGTTAAGTAAATAAGCATTTAGCTGGATCCAAGAATACTGCTGGACTTTGTATTTCCCAGGTTTTTAATACTGTAGAGAATATTGAGAAAGTTAAATTTTTAAAGATTCTTTGAAGCTTCTATGAATTCTCTCCTAATGTAGAAAGTATCACGAACTCATGAAACAAGAAATGGAAACTATTTTATTAAGACAAAAACAACTAGAAGAGACAAATCATCAGCTAAGAGAGAAAGCTGGAGATGTTCGTCGAAACCTACGTGACTTTGAGTTGACAGAAGACCAATATACGAAACTAAAAGGTTTTCCTGAGGATCAGCTTTCTATTCCTGAATATGTATCAGTAAGTGTCTTGTATCACTGAAGAAAAAAAGTACATGTATTTTTCAGATGCTGTGCCTGTCTTACATATTAGCCATTACTTTCAAAGTATTCAATTAATGAGTTATCTTATGGTACTAATCTGAATATTGTAATATTCAGCTCACCAAATTTTAAAGGGTCTTGACCATTGCAAAAGTAATAAGATTCTAAAGTTATGAGCTACATAACTTTAGAAATGAATTATTTTATCAGAGAGTAGTACTTGATAATGGTCTCAAATGAAAAATTGTGAAGATAAAGTACAGGTGAATTGTTGCCCAGGGTTGGCTAGGGATTGTGGAGGGGTTAGTGTGATTATAAGTGTATAGGAAGAGGGAGAATTATGTGGTGAGATTATTTCAGGATCTGCACTTCTGATTAAGATATGGAAGTAGTCTTAAATTGTTTGCTCTTTGTATTCCAAAATTCACTGAGAAGCCCCAAAGAGGGTTTTATTGGTCTTTTTGAGACAGGGTCTTGATACATAGTTGAGGTTGGCCTTCAGCTTACTTTGTAGCCAGGCTGGTCCCAAACTTGCAGTGGTTTTCCAACCTCAGCCTCCCGAGTGCTGGGATTGCAGGAATGTGCTACCATGCCTAGCTTTCCCAGAGAGCTTTTGTTTATATCATATAGGCCTTATCTTTCATATTTGTTATGGTAAAATTAAGAGATTTTATAGACAGATGAATACTGAACCAATCATAATGGCACATGCTTGTAGCCCCTGGTACGCTGGTGGCTGAGGCAGGAGAACTGCTTGATTCCAGGAGTTGGGGGCCGGTCTGAGGAATATAACAGGACCCTGTCTTAAAACATAAATAACAATCCACAGCATGCAGTGCCAGCCCTGCCCTTGGGGCACTCTGAGATTTGAGACTGGGCGTGGTGGCACTCACACCTCTAATCCTAGCGCTTGGGAGGCTGAAAATGGGAGAATCAGAACGAGTCCAATCTGTGTAGTGAGATTCTATAGGCCCTGTAGTCCCTGTACCAAATACATTTTAAAAAAAAAAATGTATAAGTATGCATTCCATTAGCCTTAAAATCCTTGATGTTGTATATTAAGGAGCTTCAGATTATTTGCCAATACAATAAATAAACTCTAATTGTTCTCTTCTAAACTTTCTGGTGGCTTTTTACTTTTATTTTACTTATTTATTTTTAAAGAGAGTACAAATTAGAATTAGAACAAAAAATTACAAGTGATACAGAATTTCACTTAACAAAGTAATATGAATTTCTTAATGTTCATTTTAATACATAGTGTTGTCTTCCTTAGTTTTGTAGGGTCTTGTCATATGAAACTCTCATATGACTGAGCTAGGTAGCAAATTCTCATGAGAAAATTATGAATGGGAAGAAAAATCTGAACTAAAGAGAAGTATTGATAAGGAAGATATCTCCTTTCATCCTGAGTATCCCTTACACTGCAGTGGCAGCAGCAAGAGGAACTTTGCCAAGAAATAAGAACAAAGATAAAGGCTGGAATGAACTCCGTGGTAGAGTAGAGTGCTTGCCTGGCATATGCAGGGCTCTGGGTTCAATCCTTAGCATTGCAGAGAAGTGGACTTTGTCTCTTTATCACATATTTCTTGTTTCTCATATGTTTAGGCATTGGAGATTGAGCAGTCTACAAAATAAACAAAATTATTGTCTGCGTGGAGCTTACCTTCTAGCAGAACAACATAGAGAGTAATGTGGAATGTGTGTTGATAGGGAGGAAAGAACAGGAGATTAGGGAGTGTAGCCATGTAGGGGTGCTACTATAAACTGGGTCAGGGAGGGGCGGGGAGATAGCTCAGCTAGTTCAACCCTTGGTACTGCAAAAAAAAAAAAAAAAAAAAACCGAGGCCAGGGAATCACAGAGATTTTACTGGCAAGGTGACAGCAGGACTTTAAGAAAGACAAGGCCTGAACCGGAACCATGGATTTATATGTGGGAAGAGCTGTTCTCAGAAAAAGCAGCAAGAACAAGGCCCTCAAACACTTCATGTGTCCAGGGGATTTATAAGCAGATAGTACTGTGGAGTAAAAGGTAGTGTGTGTAAAGAGAGGAAAACAAGGGATAACTGTTGGGTGAGGAGTTACAGACCATGTAGATCTTTGTTAACTGAACATTAAGATGTGAAGTACGGTAGTAGGTTCAGTTAGTGATTTCTGCTTACTTGTAGTTATTTTCTTCTGTTAGTGATAATTAAACTTGAGTTCTTTTTTTTTTTTTTTTTAATCTTTTATTTATTTGGTACAGGGTCTCACTACCCAGCTCAAACTCATAGGGATCCTTCTATCTCAACCTCCCCAGTGCTGGGATTACAGGCGTGTGCCACCAGACTCTGTTTTGATGACTGGCGTGGCTTCTGGGCCTGGCCTGGCATGCAGTACCGGGGATCGAACTCAGGTCCTTGAGCTTACCAAGCAGGTGCTTAGATCATACTATCTCCACAGCCCTTGAGTTGTTTCCAATATTTATCCATGGAGATATATTCCAAGAGTACTAGTGAATGACCACAACTAGTGCAACATGGTTTACAGTATATACCACATTATTATGCATACATACTTAGGATTATTTCATTTCTAAGTTAGACACCATAAGAAATTGACAATAGCTGATAATGGAATCAAACATTGTAAGTTTTCTTTATTTAATTGTTTATTTTGTGGGCCAGGGGATTGAAGCCAGGGCTTCAGATATGTTAAATAAGCATTCTACCACTGGGCTATATTCCCAGCCCTTAAAAAAAAAAAAAAAATCTAAATTTTAGTACAGGGTCTTACTAAATTGCTCAGGCTGGGGCTGGGGAGATGGCTCAGTAGAATAAGTGCTTGCCCGGCAAGCTCAAAGGCCTGAGTTCAATCCCCAGTTCTACCAAAAACAAACAAACAAAAGTAACAGAACTAAACAAAAAAGGGGATACAGATGAATGTCCATTTTGTATCTGTGTATTCAAAATGGTTAGGATAGATACATAGTTACATTCCCTTAATGAATAGAGGGATTTGTTCTAATAGTGTTTGTAAATAGGATATCATGTCTGCATCTTGTACAGCAAATAACCATAGGAAGAGAGTATGCAATGTGTTAATTATTGAAACTGTCCTACCAAGTTGAAAAAAAAAATTGCTCCGGCTGATCTTAAACTTTTGATCCTCCTGCTCAGCCTCCTGAGTAGCTGGGACTGTAGGCATGTACTACCATGCCCAGGTAATAATTTAGTTTTAATTTAAAAAGTAACTATTTCAAACTTATGAATTGTTTATTTTTTTTTTTTTATTTTCTGTGTAATATCTTCGGGAAGTGGTTGACTATGGGTAAGAAACCATGGAAAGTGAAGCATGAATAAAGCATACTACTGTCTTGCAAATTAGCAAATTTCAATTGTAATTTACACTTTAAGATTGCTTATTCTTTTTTTTTCTCCCAAGATTCGGTTCTATGAACTAGTGAGTCCATTAAGAAAGGAAATCTGTGAACTACAGGTGAAAAAGAATGACCTATCAGAAGAATTAAGTACAAATAAAGGCCAGCTGAAGCAACTGACAGAGGTTTGTAAGGTTTGATCACTGATAAGAAGTAGCACCAATTTTTTCTATAAGGAATTTCTCATTATTTATGGTGAAGAGTGTCACAGTGATGGAAAAATGGAACCTGAGAATGCTTACTGCTGTGATTTTCATGAGTAATGAGAAGTAGGTTAAACTGGAAGTTGTTTTAAAAACTGAGAAGATAAGTTTATGATATTGACCTGTAATCCCTAATTTAGCATTTAGTAGTTGTAACTCATTTTCTTAAGCTGCTCCTAAAATCTTAATATGTACCACTGTCTTAGTTACTTTTCTTGTCGCAGAAACAAAATACCTGACACCCAAAGTTAATGGAGGACTGGTTGATTGTAGGTCAGTTATAGAGGTTTCAGTTCATAGTTGACTGGCCCGAGGCAGGGTAGCATGGCAAAGGGGCATCACAGAGGAGGAACAATTCATGATTGGCAGAAGGCAAGGAAGCAGTGAAGTAGGGAAGTAGCAGAAGCATACATCTCCTTTATTCCTCTATGTGCTGGGTGAGCCTTCCCATTATCCACACCCAGAACTTTGTTTAACCATCAGGAGACTAATCCAGTAATCATGCACCCTTAATGCCAGCATCATACAGTTTAATTCCAGCAGTACACACCCTCAATCCAGCCACCTCTCGAAAATTCCACCTGTTAGTGCATGAGGCTTTGGGGGATGCCTAACCATAACAGCCATACTGAAAGTTGTTGAGATATATGCATATAAGAGTTTAATATTTTAAGTCTATTTTTAATGTTATTCTATCAAGAAGGTATTTTTAATGTTACTCTATCAAGAAAGTGATATTTCTTGTGTCCTGCACAAGGAGTATAGGATAGGCTATGCAGGGGATTTCTTTCAGATGCCCTAAGTAAGAAAATACTTGCAACTTTTGTAGTTTGACTGTCAGTTTTGATTTGACTAGGACTGACCCTTTTAGCCCTTAAATCTAAGTACTAATAGCACCTCATTCATTTTTAAATGAATATATTGCAAACTAGTTGATAAATTATATAATCATAACTCTTCTGTTGATAGGAGGGTCAAGTAATGATTAGCTTGATTATGGCTTTGACCATACATTCCAAAATACTATCATGTAGTTATAGTTTGCTAAGAAAAAATAGTAATAGGTTGGTTCATTTTACTGTATAAGGACTAGAAAGATAGGGAGATAGCTCAGTAGAGTAAATGTTTGACTGGCAAGTGCAAGGTCCTGAGTTCAATCCCTGGTACCAAAAAAAAAAAAAAAAAAAAAGATACTCTGTCGTCTTCAAGTTTACAAGTAGAGGCTGCTCTTAATTCTTGCCTTATCTGGTATGAATGGCAGCTCTTGTCCATTTGTCAGTCATTCTGCTTTGTCAAATACAATTAACTTATAATACTTGTTCTGAGAATGTGTACTAATACTAGCATTAGTGCTAGTGATGCACACAGTACTGTGCCAGGTGCTGGCAGTACTAAATGTGACAGAATACTTGCCCTTAGGGAGTTTGACTTCTAATACATTAGAGTTAGAACATTTGATAGTATCTTGAACATACAGTCCATGTTCATTGTGTGAGCTTGAACAAATCTTTTTGGTAGTACTGGGGGTTGAATCCAGGGCTTGGCACATGCTAGACAAGCACTGTATATTGCCATTCATTCACTCACTCACTTCCTCATTCACTCATTCATTCAATCACTTTGACCAGGGTTTTCCTAAGTTGCCCAGAATGGTCATGAATGTGCAGTCCTCCAGACCCCTCAGCCTCCCAAATAACTGGGATCACAAGCATGTGCATCCTCTCTGTGGCTAATCAAGTCATTTAATGTTTCTTGTCCTTCAAATGGGAAACAATACTGTTTGTACTTCATTTTATTGCATTCCCATGTTTCTGTTTAGAAGTAAAGATATTATTTTAGTAAAGTTGCACACACATACTTATCGTATTTCTTATTTCAAGGATGGTTTTTGTCAACGATCTATTACCCAGAAATAAAGTTGTAACTTAATTTTTTTCAGTGCTCTACTTTGCTGCTTTCTTGCTATCAGACAGTATTTAACTGTCATCATACAGCCAGTATGACATGTAGTTCTAAGCTCAGCATCTTAAATTTATCCTTTCTCTTTTTTCTTTTTCTTTCTTTCTTTCTTTCTTTTTTTTTTTTTCTTCGTCTTTTTGAGACAGGGTCATGCTATGCAGTTCAGGCTGGCCTTGAACTCTAGCGTAGGCTGGTCTCAAACTTGGCAATCCTCCTGCCTCAGCCTTCCAAGTGCTGGGATTACAGGTATGCACCACCACACACAGCTAAACAGCTTTTTTTTTTTTTTTTTTTTTTTTAAAAAAGACCTTAATGAGGAGATGATAAATATTACATATAATTTTAAAAGAAGTCTTGCTATGAGGCCGAGGAGATAGCTCAATAGAATAAGCACTTGCCTGGAAAGCGTAAGGGCCTGAGTTCAATCCCCGGTTCCACAAAAAAAAAAAAAGTCATGCTACATATTGTGGGTTTTTTTAATGGGTCATTATATTATCTATTACTGCAGCATTATTTGAGGAATTAAAAGATACTGGCTTTTTTTAAAAAAAAAATTATTTTTTTATGTGTGTGTGTGTGTGTGTGTGTGTGGCCAGCTCAGCCCACCAGGGGGCGGGGCTGGCTGGCATGTGGTGCTGGGGAATTGAACTGCAGTCCCTGTGCTTTGCTAAGCTTGTTCTAAGTAGGTGCTTTAGACCACTGAGCCATCTCACCAGCCCCAAGATACTGTTTTTTGAGTTGTCTCCTAAATAGAAAAATCTTAGACCTCTCTGTTCCCTTACAACTTCTGTAAAATAGCAATTATGATATACAGTACCTACTTCACATGGGTATTATTGTAAGGAAGGAAATTCATTTTATAAGTAGAAATTGTATGTCAACTGTGTGTCAGGCATTGTACTATGTACTTGGTATATCTCACTGAACAAAACAGCAGTCCTTGTCTTTGTGGAGTCTATGTTTAAGAGGACAACTGGAAAAAAATTATCTGTAAAACATTTTAAGGACCTGGGAGATGGCTCAGTAGAATGAGTGCTTCCCTAGCAAGCGCAGGGGTCTGAGTTCAATCCCCAGTTCCGAAAATAAATAAATAAACATAAATAAGCAAATCATATAGTGTGGTAGAAGGTAATAACTGCAGTGGATGAAAGAACAAAATACATGAGAATAAGGTAAATAGAGCACCGCATTAGAAGCAGGAAAGAAAGCATGTTCAAAATTCCGGAGGAACTTAGGAATTTGCCAAGATTTGAGGAGAACAGGGAGACAACAGCTTAACCAAGGAAGAGTTTTCAAGCAGAGGAAAAAGCCAATGCAAAATCAAGAGTGTGACTCACTGTTCATAAAACAGTGAAGGGGTTGGTGTGACTGGGATAATTGAAAGGAAAAGGATAATTGGGAATAGGATCAGAGTTCTGTTGAAGTCCTTAGAAAGACTTTAACATTAGGTGAAATCAAGCGTAGCATTTCTAAAGGAGATAGGACATTTTTTTGGCCTATATTTAAGGATTCTGGCTAACACCAAGTAGACCTTCAAGAAATGTTTGATCAAATTACTTTTAATGGGTATTAAGGAACTTTCTTAATGTTCTAGATAGTGGTCTGCTGAGAATAGATAAGGATAGATGCAAAGAGAAATCTGAGGAGGTTGACTTTAGTAGAATAGGTGATAACCAAAAGTGCTGCTGCCACATGACAGCAGTGGAAGTGGTGTGAACTGGTTGGATTCTGAATATGTTTTAGAAATAGAACCAATGGGATTTCCTTATGAGTTGGATGAAGAGTATAGAAGAAGGGAGTCAAGTTAATTTTGAGGATTTTGGCCTAAATAACGGAATGGATGGAGTTGTATTTCATTGAGCTGGGTGGAATATAAGGCAAAAAGATTTGAGTACAAAAGAGAGTTCAGGTTCTTGACATATTGAGATACCTATTAGGTGCACAGTTGTAGAGAGGTAGGTGAGTAAGTCTGAGTGTAGATGATACACATTTGGGAGTCATTAGCACAGAAATGATCCTTAAGGCCAGGCTGAAGTCACCAGAAAATGGTGAGTATAGAGAAGTGGATGGTGCCTGCACTCTAGGGCACTGCAGCATTGCAGTGTAGGAAAAAGAAGGGAAGTTGGGAGTAAGGTGTGGAAACCAGTCAGTTTCATGTCTTTGAAGCCAAGAGAAAAAAGTTTATCTAGGAAGAGAAAGTGCTCAACTGTTTGAGATGTCATTGGTAGATCCATTTAGCATTTAGATGAAGATCCAGTTAGGTGAAGATGGCGAATTTGAGTTTATCAAGGACATTGAGAACCTTGTCCAGCCAGGTTCTGGTGGAAAACTTGATGACAGTGTGTTTGGGAGTAAGCAATGTTTTATGTTCAATTGAGGAAAACATTTGAACATAAAACTGTAAGTAACCTTTCCTGAGTAATTTTGCTGCATAGAGGAACAAAGAAAAAAGGTTGACAGTGACAGAAAAAGTGGAACCAAAGGAGGGTCTTGTTTTGTTTCTTTAGGGTAAATTCTTAAGCGTGAAATTTTTCACTTGATTATTTATAGCTTTTATTCTAGCCTGTTTTTTAATTTTAAATAATTTTTTTTCCTTTGTACCATTGAGAATAGTTAAAATAACTGCTATAAATTTGTCCTACCTGCCACATGCCTATAATCCCAGTGAGGAGGATCACTATGAGTTTGAGGCCACCTGAACTACATAGGTGGTTAGGGGCAGCCTGGACTATGTGTTAAGACTTTTTCTCATAAACATAAATTATGCATTTAATATGAATCTATATTTATTTATATAGATAAATAGATACATATCTAATATATTTATTAAATATATACATATTTTCTGTTAATTCTAATATGTCATTACAGGTTGGTCATTGTTTGTCTTTTAAGAATGTCTCACGTGTTACTGTATCTTCACATGTCTAGTAACTTTAAACTTATTGAAATCAAAAAAATTT